GGATCAAATCAATCTAACAGTTCTCTTCCACTCTGTGCTGATAACAACTGCACATGCAACACTTTTTTCTCTGAGCCTAACTGCAGGGAGCTAGTCAGACCTTAAAAGGGGTACAGTCCTCCAGACTGCCAAATCTACTGAAGGCCTCATGCCAAAGCAAGCTTGGGAGTCCCCATGACACCCTCACTTCTGGCCTGCTGGCTACAAATTCGGGGATCCCTAGGGCTCCGCCACACTTTTGCTGACAACAAAATCATGATTTCCTTCTACCTACTCAGGATACCAGCTCAGGGTTTCCAGGACTCCACTTCGGACCTCCTGGCTCCCACTACTCCCTTGGGTTTGATAATTTGCTAGAATGACTCACAGAACTCATGCAAAGTGCTATACTTAGGATTATAATTTTATTTTTTTTAATTAGGAAAAAATACAAATGCAGAGACTCAGGGTGAGGTCTGGGATGGGTTCACCAATCAGAGCCTCCATGCCCCAACAGGCTACCCTCCCAAAGAGCTTCTCTGTCTGGGGCCTTTATCAGGGCCACATTATATGATAATTTGGTGGTAATCGCAACATGATCTAGGCACCTCATTAGCATAAACTCAGGTGTGATCTGGAGTCCTCATGAAAGACACTTCAGTCACTGGGAAAATTCCAAGGTTTTAGAGGTTATCTTTCAGGAACACAGGACAAAGACCAAATTCCTGAGGTAAAGTTAAATGTAAACCCCATACTCAGAAGAGGGATTTTAGGGAAAAAACTTGATATTTCTGGCATAAGCTATCATAAGGCACAGGAAGAGAAGGAACGGGAGAATCGCTTAGTGAAAGGATAGATGAATATGAATCTGAAAGTTATGTAACTTCAGTGCTAATTATCATTAATTCTCAACTATGAACAAACCTTAAGTTTGTTTTAAATACTAAGTTTTAAATATCACTTGTTACTCAAATTGTCTAGTTTACTATTATATCAAGTTCTCTCACCATTTCATCATTAGGATATTCCAAAAGATAACTGAAAACTTAAATAATGGGGAGGGGGGTACTTGCTGCCGTCGAGTCGATTTCCAACTCGGTGACCCTATTAGAGTAGAAGCGTCCCACAGGGTTTCCAGGACTGTAAATCTTTGTATGGAAGCCGACTGTAGAAGGGCAGAAATCATGACGGTACTTTGTGAATGGTAAGTTCTATTAGTGCATTCTGAAGAAGGCTTCAGTAGCTGCTGCTTCACAGTCCCGTGTTTCAAGGAATGTTTCCATTCTGGTCCTGTTTATTATGTGCTATGCTTGATGTAAGATTGGAAAGAGAGGAGGCCGTAACATTGGGATTCATTTGCCTCTGAGGGGAAAAGGGAAGGGATGAGAAACTTGAGAATATTGGGTCTTCCATGTAGGACTGCTGATATATTTGCCTTTTATGTTGTCCATCACTCACTCCCCTCCTGCCCCCACTTTCATCCTTACCCAGCTCAGTCTACAGGCCCATAACAGTTCCCAAACTCAAGGGGTCATTCTTGTTTTCTAAATTTTATTTGTTATTGTTGAGAATATACACAGCAAAACATACACCAATTCAACATTTTCTACATGTACAATTCAGTGACACTGATTACCTTCTTAGAGTTATGCAAACATTCTTACCCTTCTTTTCTGAGTTGTTTTCCCCTGTTAACATAAACTCACTGGCCTCTAAGATTTCTATCTAATCTTTCAAGTTTCTGTTGTCAATTTGATCCCATATAGATCTTAAAAAAAGCATAAAGCTCAAGGCAGACATTTTTTACTAGTTAAGCTAAACTATTCAGATTTAAAAAGACTAGGGGATGTTGTTAGGTATCACTGAGTTGGTTCTGACTCATAGCGAACTCCATGTACAACAGAATGAAACACCGCCTGGTACTGCACCATCCTCACAATCATTTCGTTTGAGCCTATTGTTGGAGCCACTGTGTCAATCCATCTCCTTGAGGGTCTTCCTCTTTTTTGATGACCTTCTACTTTATCAAGCATAATGTCCTTCTCCAGGGACTAGTCCCTCCTGATAATATGTCCAAAGTATGTGAGACGAAGTCTCGCCATCCTTGCTTCCAAGGAGCACTTTGGCTGTATTTCTTCCAAGACAGATTTGCGTCTCTCTGATGGCTAATGACACTGAGCATCTTTTCTTGTGTTTGGTGGCCATTTGAATGTCCTCTTTGGTGAAGTGTTTATTCAAGTCCTTTGTCCATTTTATGATTGGGTTATTTGTCATTTTCTTGTCATCAAACATATATATATTATTAGATTCTTGTAGGATATATGGTTTCCGAAGATATTCTCTCTCCTGGTTGGTAGCTCGTCTTTTCTCTATTTTGGTAAAGTCTTGATGAACAAACGTTTTTAATTTTTATGAGGTCCCATTTAGTCCGAATTCAGAGCGCTTGCTCTAGGGGAAGGCTTTGTCTGTCAGCTCTGGAGGAAGAGCCTTGTCTCTTCAGCTTCTGCTTCCTGGTTTCTTGGTGATCTCCATGTGTCTTCCTCTGTCTCTGCTTCTCTTGCTCGCTTATTTAATCTCTTTTATACCTCAAAAGAGATTGACTTAAGACACACCCTACACTAATTCTGTCTCGATAACATAACAAAGACAACCTGTATCCAATTGGAATTATAACCACAGGCATAGAAGTTAGGGTTTACACACATTTTTAGGGGACACAGTTCAATCCATAAGAGTCTTTGTGTCTATTGTTATGCCAGTACCAGGCTGTTTTGATTACTGTAGCTGTATAGCACGTTTGAAAATCAGAAAGTGTGAGCCCTCCAGGGGGTCATTCTTGCTTATCTGTTTTCCCTAACTCCATATCCAGTTATTTTGTTAAACAAATATTCACTGAATACTTACATATCAGTCACTCTTCTAAAGCCCTGGAAATACAGCATGGTTCAAAACAAAAGTTCCTGTTCTCTTACAAACTAGTTTGGTTGTAGGGGGAGCATAAATAAATAATGTGTTGATAAGTATTATAACAAAAATAAATCAGGGAAGAGAGTGAAGAGGGATGCCATTTATATATGGTGTTCAGAGAAAGCCTCTCTGACGTCTCCTCCACTAGAATGTGAGCGCCAGGAGGGGACCGTTACCTGCCTTGCTCATTACTGCATTTCCTGTGCTTAGAAAGGTGCATGGCACACAGTAGACTTTCAATATTAGTTGAATGAATCTATAAATGATGTGGACCATATAGAAACAGTTTAATTATGTAGGTCAACAACAGGCACCACTGATCTTAAATTGTCATTGTCACTCCAACGCACCTCTCCCGCTGAAATACTGGAAGAAGCAGACAGTTGTCTTTCATTACGCCAGTAAGTTACGTCAAATAGGAATTGAAAATAGGGAGATCATCACACTTTATTCATTACTATTATCCTCGTCTAGGCCAGGGCAGTGTCTGGCCCACATTTGGTAGCCTGGAACAAAGGATTCCTCACTACTGCAAAGCTGCAAACCCTCGAGGGCAGTGCTTGGCTTCTGCTTGTGCTATAGGCGTTTAATACATGCTCGCTGAATGAACTAGTGAATGACCAAAGAATAAATCGTGACCCCTCCGCAGCAGGAGAGCAGCCCCGCTTGGGGTCTGAGTTCAGGGGGCGACACAGTCTCCCTGCGAAGAGCCGTGTGGGGCACGAATTCGGGACTGCGGGCCTGGCTGAGGAAGAGCTCTAATAACGCCCGCATTTAAGAGCAGTGGGAATCCTCAACCGCTGTCCTTCGCTTGTGTCACGGTCTGCGCGGCCTGCCCCGTCCAATAGCTTATTGGGTGCCTCATGGAAGACCCGCCCCCTCGAAGGAGAAGGAGAAACGCAACGACCCTGACGTCATCCAACGACCAGTCATAAGAAGCCACCTTCAGCTTTGTCCAATGAGAGCGGGCACAGGTCACACGACCCGCGGAGTTTGATTTTCGCTCAGGTCAACTTCTGAGTTCCGGGTACGCGGAGGTAGCCGGCCGATACCGCAGGCGAGGGCAGGTTCCCGGGGGATCGGGAGGAGGGCGGCCGCGTCTCCCGCTGTGTTACCCCGACTGAGTGAGGGGCTGCAGGGCCATCCCCGGAGACCACATCCTGCCCTGATTGGAGGTGTCGTTCCCGCCTGTGGCCTGAGGCGGGCGGCGGACACTGGGGACGAGCGCACGCCGGACTCTTTCGATTGATGATTCGGAGACGGGGCCCCGTAACGCCAGCAGCTCGACGTCTCCGTGGTTACCGGGGGGCTCGGCTTTGGAGTAAGGTGAGCATGACGACTATGCTGGGTTTGGAGCGCCCCCGAGGAAACTTGTGGCCAAAGCGAGTGAAACGACCTGGGCGCTAGTACTAATGCGTGACTAAGTCAGGTCCCGTGTCTAGAGTACAGGTTCCTTCTCTTTCAAATGTGCGGAGAGGGATGGGCAGTTTTGTTGAAGTTTTGAATCGGTCCCCTGTCTGCTTCAACGGTCTGCTGAACTCACCCATTCCGAAGAATCTCAGCCAAAAGTCTGGAGCCTTCCCTGACGCCTTATCTGTTGTTGATTTGGTAACTGTTGTTGTTAGGTGCCATCGAGTCGGTTCCGACTAATAGCGAACCTATAGGACAGGGTAGAACTGCTTCATAGAGTTTCCAAGGAGCGGCTGGTGGATTTGAACTGTCGACCTTTTGGTTAGAAGCCGAGCTTTTAACCACTAGCCACCAGGGCTTCGATTTGTTAATTAGGCCCCTTTTAGGCTCCTTCATAGTTTCAAACATCCTATGGACTTTTAATGCAATTTAACCGGTAAATTGAAGTTTCCTGTACAAGCTCTTCCCCTCTCCTTCCCCCTACCCCTAGACTTCCTTCAAAATAGTGCTGTCCAGAAGAGATTAGTTGATGGAGAAATGTGTAATGAAAGGACTCTTTCAGGTTATTTAGTATGTTTTATTATCTCCAAGACTAATATTCTCTAAACTTTTTCCTGAAGGTAGCAAGAAACTGATAATGTTTCCTTGAATTTGCCTCTGCATTTGCTTCATCAATGTCTCTCATATTGAATATCTTAAGAGAAATGCTGGACTACTTTGGTGTTCCCATAGACCAGGTAGAGTCTTTTAATGGACTTGAATAAACCTGCTGTATTTGTTCTTGGGTTTCTCATTTTTATAATGATTGATTTGTAAATATTACATTTTTACTTTAATTGTTACTTCTCTTTAGGTGGAACAAAGGCAAGTTTGCAATAGTATAGCTTTGATATTTTGAATTAAGAGATAAGATTTTTAAGAAGCTCTTCACCTTATGCTGATAGACCATATGCCAACAGAAGATACAAAAGAAGAAAACAGACATGACCTTCAGAATTTTATTGTTTGCATAGATAAAATATATTTATAATTATCTAGTGGTTCTATTAAGATAATCTATAAAGTCTGATATCTGGATATAGAATGGCAACTTAAAGTTCAACTAATTCAGAATAAGTCTGAAGGGGAGAGGATGATTTAGGTCTGAGAATTATAAGCAAATGCAGTGTGTGAGCATCTGGTACATCCAAGACTATGTGTTTGGTCCTGCAGGCGATAGAGAGGAGTAGTACATAGTTCTTATACTCACGCTACTTAAAATGTATGAGAAATAAGAAACATAAGAAAGATAACTATAATACAAGACTGAATATAAAAAAAGATACAAATAAATAGAATCAGGGCTTACAGAATGGGAAAAATAGTCAAAGATAACAAGATTTTGGACAAAAGCAATTTGAAGAATGATGGGGCCATTACTATAAAGAGGCAAGTCAGTTGAGTAGGGAGATAAGGTGAACCAGAGGTGCTGTTGGAATAGATAAATAAAAACAGCTTGCAGACAGCTGGATAAATGGTTCTAGAATGTAGGAAAGAAAAGAGATTTAGATTTGGGAGTTATCTGCATTGTTTTGATAGTTGAAGCCAAGGTGGACTTTGGGAGTGGATTCAGTTCTGATTTAGCAGGGTGTCTGGTGGCCATAGTCTTGGGGTTCCTCCAGTCTCTGTCAGACCAGTAAGTCTGGTATTTTGTTGTGAATTTGAATTTTGTTCTATATTTTTCTCCCACTCTGTCCAGGACCCTCTATTGTGATCCCTGTCAGAGTGGTCGGTGGTGGTAGCTGGGGACCATCTTGTTCTTCTGGGCTCAGGCTGGTGGAGGCTGTGGTTCATGTGGTCCATTAGTCCTTTAAACTAATATTTTCCTTGTATCTTTGTTTTTTTTTCGTTCATCTTTGTTGCAGATGGGATGGGACCAATAGATGTATCTCAGATGGCCACTCACAAGCTTTTAAGTCCCCAGATGCTACTCGCCACAGTGGGATGCAGGACATTTTCTTTATGAGCTATGTTATGCCAATTGAACTAGAAGTCCTCCAAAACTATGGTCCCCAGCCCTCAGCCTCAGTAACTTGACCCCTCAAGGTGTTTGGATGTGTCTAGGAAGCTTCTATGACTTTACCTTGGTCAAGTTGTGCTGACTTCCCCTATACTGTGTATTATCTTTTCCTTCACCAAAGGTACCACTTGTCTACTATCTAGTTAGTAATTTTCCCTCCCCATCCCTCCCCACCCCGTAACCATCAAAGATTGTTTTTTCCTGTGTATAAACCTTTTCTTGAGTTTTTATAGTAGTGGTCTCATACAACATTTGTCCTTTTGTGATTGACTTACTTTAGTCAGCATGATGCCCTCCAGATTCATCCATATTGTGTGATGTTTTGAGGACTCACCATTGTTCTTTATTGTTGTGTAGTAGCCTTTTTTCTTTGGGGAGGGGGGTTCTTGTGGGAATAGTTTACACCAAGATGAGAAACTCAGGCTAACGGACAAAATGTTATTCGAGTGATAGTGGCACATTTTACTTCTAGTATTTTTTTTTAAGAACTGACTTCAAGCATATATAGTCCACTGTAAATAAACAATAATTCTTTGAATTGTATAGGACCTGTTCATTTTCCCCCTCTTCTTTGGAGAAAATACTTTGAGTACTCTAATTTGTATTTTCTTCTAAAAAATAAATGTTATTGCCCTTTTATATTTGCTTTTTTTATAGATATATAAACATGCTTAATCAGAATACACTTTAAACAATGTTTTTTGTTTAAATAGATTCTGCCGATTTGGGAAAATAAAGAATATGGATCAGCTCGAAGTATTGTTCGCATTATTGGGAAAATTCTTCCTTTAGAACCTTGTCCAAGGCCTAATTTTGAGGTAAGTCAGTCAACATTCATCATTTAAGCCCTGTACATAAAATAATCCTAGACGCTGTTAGGGATAACAGGGTAGAGCAATATGGAGAAATGTTTCCTGCACTCCAGAAACCTATCGTTCACCCCGGGAAGCAAGTCACTTCATGTGCTATTGTGTTTTTTTGTTTCTTTAAGTACTTACAGTCAAAGATGGTCAGGTTCCAAGCAGAACCTGAGCAGCTTATTTTATTCTAGTTTGTATTTTATAGTGGATGAGATTAACAGAGGAGAATATTGGTGCATGACTTTTGAATAACATTTTTCCTAGTATTTTTTCTTGCTAATACGTGCATGCTTTTCTATTGAACGTCCAATTTTCCTTTTGGATTTTTCACTTACTTAATTTCCACGGAGCACGCGTCTTTCCCCAACTCTCCTGCAAAGGTATGACTTTTTTTTCTTTTTCACTTTAGTTGATCCCACTCTTGAACTCTGTAGACTCTGATAACTGTGGACCTATAGTTCCATCTTTTGCTGATACTTTGTGTGTGGCAAATGATGATGAAGCCAGTTCTCTACGATTTCGGTAATTTTACATGCTTATTTTGGGAAGTGGGGTGTAGGATATAATCTGAATTCTTGAATGTTTTGAAGTTTGTTCACAGTGATTGAACTTTTCCATTTTGCTTATCTGTATGCTGTCCTACTAATGTCTTCCTCATTTCTTCAGCCAGTTTTTGTTAGTCCACATTTAAACCTGGGTAGGGAGTACTAAGCCTAGGAAGGAATGATATCAAAGGGATATCAGAAGCACTGTGTTCATTTTTAGAAGAAAGCTGTTTCCTGTACTAGATACCAGATTTATTTTATATCTTTAGCCAACACCTATATAGTGCTTACTGTGTGCCAGGTAATGATGTTACATATATTTCAAAAGTTGGATGTGTTACTCCTAGGACTACTAACTTATTAGTATATTTAGATACAGGCTGTAAGCACAGTGAGTGATATTATCTGGTATGGCCAGAAAATGAAGTGTGACAGTTATTCAAATATTCTGATTAAATTTATGTAGTAAACATGGTTTATCAATTTTCAAAAAGCTAGAATACTATAAGCGTACCCCTGACGTAGTACTGGATCTTAGACCTTTCAGTACCTTCCATAGAATTTTGAAATAAATCAACTTGTACTGTGTTAAAAGCTAATAGGTAGAAGAGTTCCAGGATAATTATTTTTGTTTTACAATCTAAAAGCAAGATTTGTTCATTCATTTACACCTGTTTATTGGCCATTTATTAAGGGCTACATTCTCTCCTAGATATTGAGAATACAAAGTTAAGTAGGATGTTGTGCTCACCCTCGTGGAGTCTAGAGAGAATCACAGGGGAACGAGAATTACTCCGGTTTTGTTTTAGTATCCACTGCTTTCCGTGAAAGAATTTACTCCTCTATTGACTGAAAATTTCCCTCCCTCTCTGCTTACCTCCCTCCATCCATCCCTCCTTCCTCCATTTCTTCCTTCCTTCTACTGACAGACATAGTATATGGAAAAATAAAGAAGAGGAGAAAATGGAATTTGTCAATCCTTTGCAACTAGTTTGGGCTCCATCATCACCTGATCTAAGACGTAACAAACGGATAAAAAATGATCTGCCTGTAAATGATGCCGCAATTAAAAAAATAGCTGCCCTTGAAGATGAGCTAACATTTCTTCGCTCCCAGATTGCTGCAATAGTGGAAATGCAGGAACTGAAAAACAGTGCACATTTTGGTAAGTCATATGCTGGAGTTTTATTTCAGTTAGATGATACTCATCTAGTATTTAAGTCAGTGCAATTCTGAATAAGAACGTTTGATGCTAATGCGTCTTGTGAATGACATTAAACATTATCATAAAAGAATGTTGTGTATATAAAATTATTATGTCTGATTTTTATTCAGAATACATCACGACATTGATAGGGGAATGGCTTTGGTTTAAAGAGGAGTTAGCTATACTGCTAAAGATTGTATTTCTGTATTAAAAAGTCTCTTCTAAGTAAGCCTTTCTAACTCTTCTGAAAATCAATGTAAATTAAAGAGGAAAAATAAATTAAAAATCATTATTAATTTGACAGAAAAGCATAGGTTTAAGGTCTCATATATTTGTAGTTTGAAGTTATCACTGCTGCACTTCCACCAGATTCAGATGAATGATGTGTTCCAGATAATCCTTTTCTAAATGTTTAGAGATGTAACTTGTTTTAACAATGCACACATGCATGTGTTTACACACACACAAAATATACATATATACAGATATGTGTGTGCACCTATATATAGATATAAAATTTAAAATGAGATGGGTATTGAGTACTTTTAACAAAAGATTTGCTCCTAAAGAACTATGTATAAAT